GACGAACATCATCAGAGCAAGGTATCATCGTCACAACAAAATTCAAGCCAACGAGTCAAGAAAACTCACCAGCAAATCCCTAAAAAGTGGTATATACACTCTACATCTGGCCTCTTTGCTCAAGTATAAAGTGAATTGGTTAGTGACGGTCATATGTCAACTTCGAGGCATGTGAGTATGTCTGTCTCTGTATGTGTATGCGCCTGTTTGTGTTTGTCTTGCAGTAAAGCTAATCGACAGCTGGTTAAGAGAAATCCGCCGTCGTCTTCTGGTGGAACCGACCTTCGAATCTCTTCACGCCACACTTTCACTCGAAATGGAAGTAAGCTCAACAATTATGAAGCAAGAGATTCCCCGAAACCTAACTTTTCTTCCGCTTCCTGTCCTGGCCCATCCATCTCTTTCCTACCCACTTGTCTCGCCCTCGTCCTATCACAACTTGTTTCTATTCCACTCGTCAAGAGTGCCTCCTGTCCGGATCTACCTCATGGACACAAAGATCCGTTTTCTCTCTTTCCGCTCAACCGATTTCACTCGGTTCCAGCCCCAGTGGACTTTTTTCTCGAGGCGCTATACCTCAAGTCTTCAATGGCACGTACACTGTCGCCTCACCTGCAGACCGCCTCGGCTCGGATTCCCATGCTTGCGGATATTAGGCGTTGCCTTCACTCATCATCTCCTCAATTAAACCCGTGTTCTCTGAGCAAATTGTACACTTTTATCTCTCCACGCCTGCCGCCTCTCGAGTGGATTTATGGCCGAATTTCTGCGATGGCTGTGATTATCCGTCGCCATGGTCACGTGACCATCAGGCCCCCAAAGTTGTGGTTGTTTCTTTGAGCAGACCATTCCAACTTCCTCACTCTCTTCTTCCTTGCGATCTGTTTCCCTCTGGTCTAGGCGTCTCATTTTGGCTTGTCTTGTTGTGTCCTTGTTGTCTCCGAGTTTCACTTGCCAGTTGGCAAAGTTATCACTAACTCTACCTTCTTCCAATCTCCTATTCATTGAATTTTTTCCCCTAGGATGTCATAGACATCCTTATTCTCCTGTTTCCTTGTGTTTCCACCGTATAAAGCCACTCTTTATCTTGCCATCCAATTCATCTCGTATTCCGACCGTGTAATGTGTTCCGCTATTTTCGATTATTTGTTGACATTTTCGTCAGATTCTTTGCTATTCTTTTATTAATTTGCCCATTTTTCTGTTTGCATACCCAACTTGTATGAGCAAAAAAGCAGTTTAGTCATGGGATCATTTTTAGCTTTATTTTTGGCTACTAATTACGGTGTTCAATTGAGAGTCAATCCAATTCAAAAGCACTAATTTTGACTAAGATATTAGTTATGCATATGGACATTTACCTTGCCGTTTTTGAGCACGGCAACGACAGTTTAAATGAAATTCATGTGTTAAGGAATTAAGTAAGTGGGGCAATTAAAGTTACTATGGGATTAGAAAAGGACGATAAGCTATCATTCATTGTTGCCATAGTGTGTAACTTAGGCGCTAAGTCGAGTAGAAATTTGTTTAGAAAGTCCACACTAAGATTTTCTTCTTAACTTCTTTCTTGGCATACACGTTTAGCAATGTTAGACAACCTGGATTATGAGGGTTAAGAAATATTTTACCACAAAAAAATTATCCACTAGAAGGCACGGGAATAGCTATCAATGGCCGGACAGGAATGTAGGCTATAGTCATATCAACAAAATAGCTAATATCCTGACTAGAAGGATGAAAAGTAAGAAGTTGAGTAGGAATATTTGCGCTTTAGAAATGGAAAAAGAGATAAAGGGAGAGAGGGAGAGAGGGAGAAGGGGGGATAGGCAGAACCGTTGAGCAAGAGTAGTGTTGAATAGTCTCGAATTTGATTAGGATTCATACACCACACATGTCTCGAACTTTGCACATACAAAATATATGTTCCACTATACACTCTAGCATCTTTCAATTTTGCAGAATTAATTTTCCGTATATTTATGTGAATAAACAGCTGTGAGCACAACCACATTCTCTTCATTTATCAACTTATCCCATCTATATGCGTGTGAGATAAGCATGAAGTGGCCAATTGAATCACGAGATGCCTCAACAAGTTGTACAAATTAGAATCAATTATTTGTCAAGGTTATCAATAAGTTCATATTTACAGAATTATTTATAAGAAATCAGCATTATAAAAACATATATCCTTTCTCGGTTTGCTGTGTTGGTACCTTTTGGCAAATAAGGGTTTCTTGTCCAGATAATGCTTAAACAGCGGAACAGACAAAAAGTTGACAATGATGGATTGGGTCGGCAGGACGGAGCTTCGAGAGCCTCTTTGCAGAATTAAAAAGTCTCTGCTCTGAGGCAAGCCTTCTTCGGTTTCCGGTCGCGAAGTCAGAGTCCACCAGTCTGCCTTCTCGAAAAATACACACAAGGTCGCTTTTCATAGACAAATCGAAGTATTCAGCCCTGAGTCTATTGTTAAAGTAGGCATGACAATACTTTGAATCGTAAATTCCCAGAAATTTCGCCTACTTCTGCATCAATATCGTCATTTGCAGGCACAACTTAGGCACTAAGCAACAAATCGTCGACGTGAAAACGAAAGTCCATCCAATGACCTAGTTTCTACTACCCCGGTGTGGTATCTCTTCCTCTGTCCTGGCCTATTTACCATTCACAGAGCTCTATCCATCTGCATCACAATTGCTAACATGCTTACTCTGAGCTACCCCAAAAGTACGCCCTCGTTAGCGGCTAACGCGACGCTCTAGTTTCGGCAATGTAGACACAAAAGGTGAGGTAAAACCCTCGGGGATGTTGTCAATGCTCAAAATGGCTCATCTTTGGAGTAGAGCAGTGAAGTGGCGGAAGCTGTGCTGGAAAAAGAGTTCTGTGGGATTGGTAGATTGACCAAGCCAAAAGGCGAGAAAGTATACGAAAAACGTATTTTTTTTATTTAATGAACACGTTTTTGAGACTATCAGGATATCATATATATATATATATATATATATGAGATATATTCACCAGCTTTCGTTTAAGGCGGTAAAGAGACCGGTAGCTGAATTTTCCCATAATCCTATGAGTAGAATTTAAGCTTCCATTGAATTACTAGTCCCCTTATCCTCTTAAATGAGATGGGGAAAATAAATCTCACATGTATGCTCAACTGGTAGTCTCGAAAACCAACATATGAAAGGAGAATAAGAAATCAAATCGATTGCTATAGCAAATACAACCACATAGTGTGATATGGGGAAATGCTTGGTGTTTCTTGAAATTCACATCTGCCCTGTCACCCAAGAGCACATGACAGTACCGTGTAAAGATTATACTCTGCCATACCGAAGTTTGATTCCCGCTAAGGGTACTGATGATGATGCAGTCGAGTCCAGCCGAAATGGGAATCGCTTTGAGAAGCAAGGCTATGTGAAATGCAATGGAAGCGTAAAGCCTACTCATAAGATTGTGGGAAAATTGCTCACTCAATTCCCGATCACCTCAAGCGAAATAGGGTGAATACAGCTCTTTTAGAAGATGAAAGATTTGCTAGATTGAAAAATCTTGGTATTTGTTGAGCTTACTTCCATTTCGAGTGGAAGTGTTGGGTGTAGAGATTCGAAAGTCGGTTCCACCACAAGACGACGGCGGATTCCTCTTGATCAGCTGTCGATTAGCTTTACTGGAACATTCATACTGACGCTGTTTCCGAGGTAATCTTCTTCGATTCCGGTGAAAAGGTGATAAGTTTCGTCCGTCATATGACGGACATCATCAGAGTGAGGTTACATCGTCACAACCAAATTCAAGCTAACGAGTCAAGAAAACTAGGAAACAGCGTCAGCATGAATGTTCCAGTAAAGCCAATCGACAATTGGGCAAGAGGAATCCGCCGTCGTCTTCTGGTGGAACCGACCTTCGAGTCTCTTCACGCAACACTTTCACTTAAAATGGAAGTAAGCTCAACAATTATAAAACAATAGATTCCTCGAAACCCAACTTTGCTTTGCTTTATGCTTGTTCAACATGCATGTAAGCGGATCAAAGTGATGCATGAGGGAGAGAGGATGTGATCACCACTTTTGTATGTGTAAATAATCTAGCGTATGATCCGATAATCCTGGTGCTTGTTACGGCTTCGTGGATGCGTGTTCGTGTGTGTATGCAACACTCACGAGTTGGTCGGCAAGTCGTCAAATCTCGCTCTCTCACTCTCCTTCTCTCCATCTTTCTAATTCTATGTAATTTCTTAATTTCATATATTTCTTCCGCCTATTTTTTTTGCTAGTTTCAGTTAACCTTTAGAAGAAATAGTTGCAGCTCTGATGCTATCCTCCGTTTGAGGAAGACTGAGCTCCGCCAACGTCTATGTCCCATGCAAGGCCTTAGAACAACATTTTCGTTATTTCCGCATCGACTGGATAACAATCTTACCGCAGAGCCGACTTCACGTAAACGCCGACTATCAGCTTTGAGTTTTTGCAGCGTCCTAACCTTTGACGTCTCCATGTTGGCAACACAAAATCCAGCAAACCACTTTGGTTATCTCGCTCATGCGCTATTTTCACCATCCGAGTCTACCCTGACAGGGTTAGTCTCTTCTAGTGACTTGTACCTACACTTTTGCAATTCGATGTTTCGTTTTGTACATCCCATACGCAGCCGTTGCTACGAAATCCAGGTACTTTTCATATCTTCATATTCTCATTCCGGTCAGAGTGGACTGCAATTTCGACCTCATCTAACCTAGCCTCATCAACCCTCCCAACGGGACTCGAACCCGGTGTGTAGTCCTGACACAACCTTGTTTGGGTCACAGGGCGGAAAAAATGTTGTGCACACTTGCATTTCGTATGAAAGTACGTGAGATTTTGCCGGAAGACGACGCTCAGATGTAAGCAGTTCAAGCGACATTCCTCCTCGCTTCAAGTGAAGAAGGATTGAACTTTTTGATTTTGCATGACAAACATAATTCGAGCTGGGAGTCATGCTTGCAAAGGTCTCGAATTGAGACTAAATCAAGAAGACTGACCGGCTCTCTCCAACACATCACGAGAATAAGGTTTGGATACAAATGGATACAGAAGGGTTTGATTGATTCTTTTTGTCATTTAATGTCTTCTTTATTTTCTGTTATCTTGAGACTTTTGCAAAAGTGAGTGCCAGCTCTGATGATGGTCGTCATACAAAGTAAGAAAGTTCAACTCGTTTTTGTCTGTAATGAGGGAGGATGTCTCGTCGTCTGCGTCAACCCAAACGGTTGTAGTACAATGTTAATCAGCCATCGTCTTCCAGTGGGATCGACGTTTCATACAAAATGGAAGTCTCGACAGCAATTTTATGTCAAGAGATTCAAGGAAACTTGCTTTTTTCTTCGTATAGAGACCATTTATAAGCAGCCTAGACCTTTTTATATCAAAATGTTGTGGGCGGGATTGCCGATAAAGCAAAGTTGTATGCACTATAGCAATCAATTGTACCACTCATTTTCGCCTTTAAACGTAGGTTTTAGACAATTTTACGAAATAGGGTGAATAATTTAAATATATATGCTTATAAGG